TGCTGTTTATTTGATGGGGGTAGGACAAATGCTCTCTATGTGCTCATATTTGGAAAAAATGATAAATTGAGAATATAATGAAAAAGTTAAGGAATTTTTGGGAAAAAATTTCTTTGCCCACTCCCCGGAAAAAGAAGTCCGAAGCCATATTGCTGTTTATTTGATGGGGGGGGGTGGTTAGGGCAAATGCTCCACTGCTCATGTTTTAAAAAAAATGATAAATTGAGAATATAATGAAAAAGTTAATGAATGTTGTGGGAAAATTTGCTTTGCCCCCCCCCCCCCCCCTCCGGAAAAATCGTGGCAATGCCCCAAGGGAGTTCATTAATTTCTTTGTATTTTTTTCTCTTTAAAAACAGGTGATAAATTCCGCCTTGTTCTGGCCACAACGTTAAGAGAGGATGATTACCCTGACAATGGGGAGTACACGCCCCTTGATGACGGCACAACCACCAAGGCAAACAGCTTGAGTACATCATGTACCGGTACGGCATCGTGTACAGAAGTGACGGGATTGAGAGCACGACAGAGGCCGCACCCAGACTGTGAGTACAAACTTTGCTCCCCCTCCGAAAATTTTACAAATTGTTGATGCAGGCCTAGTTTTAACGAAATAATGAAGTCCATTACAAGTCCATCACGAGTCCATCACGAGTCCATCACGAGTCCATCACGAGTCCATTACAAGTCCACCACAAGTCCATCACAAGTCCATCACAAGTCCATCACAAGTCCATCACAAAACCATCACAAAACCATCACAAGTCCATCACAAGTCCATCACAAGTCCATCACAAGTCCATCACAAGTTCAGCACCAGTCTCCATCTAAAATGTTGCTTACAACTACTTGCGAGAGGCACATACCATGACAAAGCTAGAGGGGTGTTTAAAAAAAATGAAGTTAATTTAAATTGTTGACCAAAATCATAGGTAATTTATTTATTTTATTTTTTTTACTTGATTTGACTTTTTGACTGAAAAAGTATTTATGGATGGGAATAAAAATATGCTGGACTTTTCGCATCGGGCCATTATCAGTGCCCAAGCCTCCAGCTGGTCTTAAACGGACTTGTTTAAAACCATACAAGCACATATTTATTCCCTTATTATTAGACAGTCACTTCACTTGGTGTATCTGTAAACTGTCTCCTTGTGTGTACTCACAAGTTGTACTCAATTACAAAAGCCTTCAAAATTATGAAAAAAGTCATTGTATTAATGTGTTGTTATTCATGAATTTTTTCATTTCAATTTCATTTTGAGCAGCTCATGGAGGCTCGCTTTGTTGATCAACCATCATGTCCAGTCTGGTCACCATGGCAACTGAACAGCCTCAGGCCCCGCCTCCAGCAGCCATTGGTCGAGATCGTCGCTTACCAATTCCAATCAGCAATGAGCGTAGTCCAGGGCAACGCAAGACACCTGTCAGCTTTGTTGTTGTACCTGTCAGTGATCTGGGTTACCCTGTTGGTTCACCAGGGAGTAGCATCTGGGCTTATACACCAGGTAAGCTCAGTTTTCATTTACCACACACTTTCATTAGATGCATGAAAACTGACTTTATCTGGAGCATGAAGATAATAGGAGTGTGAAATAGTCTCATATTTTCTTGGGCTCGGTTCGTAAGGATCCTAATTGGAGACCTTAGCTAAAAATCCTTGTTGGTTAAAAAAGTGCTGTAAAATCAAACTCAGAAGGAAACGATAACATTTAAGTTCAGGCCATGAAAATATAATTATAAAATCGACCACTGTGATTTCTATTACCCAATGGACATATAGGACATGTGAATTAGCAAAATATAAGTCGTCATCCATTCAAGAAAATGTTTTTCATATAAATGGCAGATTTAAAACAAATTTGTTGTTTCTTCTGAATTTTTTCCCTAGGGAGCAGCGGTGACTGGATCCCAAGTAGCAACTTAGAGGACATACCAGGCACAGCAGCTAACAGGATGCCTAACTTCCCCATCAAGACACTATCCCTCAGGGAACCAAACTTGGCCCTATTTTATTTTTAGTTATGATCAATGATGTCAGACTTGAGGGTGATAACCTGGTCGTGTTCAAATATGTTGATGATTTATCGATTGTTGAGTGTAGACCATCTTCGCAGAATTCTTGCTTGCAGGACGCCATTGACGGCCTAACAAATTGGTCTATGCAAAATAGCATGAAATTAAATCCTAGTAAGTGCTTTCAAATGAATATTGATTTCTCTAGAAATAGCCCTGTAATGCCTGTTATTTCTGTTGATGATTATGAACTCTGTATTACATCACATATCAAGGTTTTGGGGGTTACTATCCAAAGTGATCTCAAATGGGACAAAAATGTGGACAGCATTGTCAAACGTGCTAATGGTAAAATCCACATGTTAAGGGTTCTCAAAAGTTACGGTTTGCCTCACAGTGATCTCATAACCCTCTATAAGAGCTTCATCAGACCATTGGTGGAGTATGCAGCCCCTGTGTGGAACGGAGCACTTACCCAGCATCAGGTGACTCGGCTTGAAAAAGTACAGAAACGTGCCTTGAAGATTATTCTTGGGGTCGAGTATTTGTCATACACCCAAGCTTTATCGCATTTCAGCTTAGATTCTTTGGCAAACAGACGTAATCAAATATCATTATCCTTTTTCAACAAAACCCTTAAACACACTGATCTTTTTCGTGAATTCTTTCCGCCTCAACATACTAGAATGCTGCGGAATAAACCATCCATCCCTGAAATCCGTTGCCGAACAAAACGTTATTATACCAGTGCGCTTCCTACCTTAATCAGATTGCATAACCAATAATAATAATTTTAATTTTTCGATATGTAAATTGTAATGGACATGTTTTTAATTATTTTGTTAAATCCATTGCAATTCAGTTTTTAACTGCGATAATGGATGAAATAAACCAATATGAATGAATGAATGAATGAATGAATGAATGAAACGATAACATTTAAGTTCAGGCCATGAAAATATAATTATAAAATCGACCACTGTGATTTCTATTACCCAATGGACATATAGGACATGTGAATTAGCAAAATATAAGTCGTCATCCATTCAAGAAAATGTTTTTCATATAAATGGCAGATTTAAAACAAATTTGTTGTTTCTTCTGAATTTTTTCCCTAGGGAGCAGCGGTGACTGGATCCCAAGTAGCAACTTAGAGGACATACCAGGCACAGCAGCTAACAGGATGCCTAACTTCCCCCATCAAGACACTGTCAAGAGAGGATGGCTTCCAAATGAACAAGTAAGCATTTCACCCCTCCACCACCCTATACACTCAATCAGCATGAGTTCAGGACTTGATAACAATATACAACAACACAAGGCAATTAAAGTTGGTTCCAGAGTACACACAGTTTTATTCAATTGATTTAGCCCATTCATTGGTGTTACAGGGTAATCCTATACAACAGCACTGCCCAGCTCACAAGTGACAGTGAGTTGATCCGTAAGGTACAAAGAGGACTGTAGGCTGGCCCTCTGGGACCAGCACAAACTGAACAGCGATCATTGAGAAAATCAAAAGAGAAATCAACACCTCATGAAGAGGTACCTTAATTGTGTATCTCAAGACACTATTGAAACATCATCATGCTTGCGAGCTATAACTTTATTCCCCTGGTAATTATTTCCTACAGACACCTGTCAGCCAGTTTGCTGAGCAATGAGCCAATGTCTGGCATGCATCATAACATGGCCATGGGAGATGTGGGAGGGGTGACAGCTCATGGAATGGCAGGAACGTTCTGAAACCCTGTAGACACCATGCAACTTCATTGCACCGATCCAAAGGTAGGTCTTGTCTTGAATCTGGAGTCCGTGTCAATAATCGGGCTATGATTAGCAGTAACACATATATGGGATGCAGATGCAACTGCTTTCATTGACAAATGTGTTATTGCTAGCCGTAGCCAGTAACGTGTGTATGGGATGCGGATTGAACTGCTTTCATAGACGCATGTCGGCATGTGTTGTTGCTGGCCGCGTAACACGTGTCTATGTGATGCAGATTCAGCTAATTTCATAGACACATGTGTTATTGCTAGTCATAGCCAGTAACAGTTGTCTATGGGATGCAGATTCAGCTGCTTTCATAGTCAAGTCCTTCACAAGTGCCTCAGTCTCAAGTCAAATCACAAGCTTTCCAAATGTACTGTTGCAAAAGCATTTATTTGTCATTGTTCATCTCGTAACTTGTGACTGGACTTGTGAAAGACTTATGAGGGACTTAACTACAGCCCTGGCTGTAGCCATTGTGAGACGGTCTTCAAATCTTCAATATTTTCTCTACACATGTACCTTTAATATCTACTTTAAAACTTTTGAAGTCCACTTTAAATGTGTTGCTGATATAGGCCTACGTACTGCATGCATAATCTTTTGGAGTTGCATATAAGTCATCAAGTGTAGATGGTAGCAAGGACTGTACTGCATGGTCAGGGTTCCAGCTGGCAAATTGCAAGTTACAGCCAAAGTTGTAGGCAAATGTAGAATAATAGTCATCCCCTACGTTCAATAGCCAAATTTGATAGTGTGTAAGGAAATAAAATATCAGCCCTTCGAGAAACTTGTTCTGATTTCTATGATACAAGACGAACAAAATAGTGGCAATGCTTGTGTCGTCCAACCGAATAAATCGGGAGACACTCATATCACCAGTTCTAACTATTCTGTGTGAGCGAAATGTCCATATGACTGACATTCGTATTGTTCAAATATGCTTCAAATGATTCTATGTCTACATAATTTGATGGATTTTAATGTAACCCTGATGGAGTGTACCTTGGATGGGCGTTCATCACAAGTCTTTGAAAATTGGAGGTCAAAGGTCATCTAGGGGTAATTTCACATCGTTTAGAAATGCACAAAATATAACCTTTTTTTAAGAACACAAATCATAATTATAGGGGTTGACCGTGGAAAAGGGCGACACGTGTGGTCCGCGGACCACTTGTCTTTATTAATTTCAGTATTCAAGGGCGGATCCGGGCGAGGCCAACCGGGGCCATGCTCCCCCACCCCCCACCCCCCCAAAAACAGACAATTTCATTTTTTTTTAAGTGACATCGCAAAAAGGCAGGCACTGCGTACACACCATCTTTTCCTTAAAAAAGATTTTGTTAAAGTGGCCCTGAAGCCCACATCAGAATTTTTGGGGGGAACAAATCTGTTTTTGGCCCCCCAAAAAAATTGTGTTCTGGATCCGCCCTTGTCAGTATTTAATATAATATTTGTGAGCAACATAACAGACACTCAATAACGAAGGGAGGGAGAGTCATTGTCAATAGAGGGCGCTGTGCAACTTTTATTGTTGGGGGTCTGATGAAATGGTGAAACCATCGACTTTGTCATGCGGCTATGAAGACTTGCAGACTGGTCCAAGAAATCTGGAATTTATTTGGCCGGCTGGAATCCACTCATAAAATTGTCTTCATCTTTATGTATTGAGCAAAGGTAATCCAAAAAAAATAATAAGTTGATGAATTTCGTAATTGCCACAACTTGTAGAAAATTGTAATTAGTCACACATTTGACCACTTGTGATAGTTTCTAGCAAATTCCACACTCGGCAGTGGTCAATTGTAACTTCATTGTACGTTGTTAGTCCAATTGGAATAACAATATAGTTATTTCAAGGCATCATTTTTGTTTTTAATTTTTAGCAGAAGAAAAGAGCGATTTCGAAGAACTACAAAGAGGGTTATTTCTTTTTCCAAATAATGAATGAGTTAATTTATTTCTGCTCATTTCCAAACTTATTTTACAAGGCTGTGTGAATATGTTATTGCTGCAATAGAGTTTGAAATATTTAATGAAAATTAACAAATTTTCATTGAAACTCAAACTGTAGTGAGGGGGATAATTTTAAAATTATTGTCAAGTTTTCTAAAATGGCAGCCAAATATGTAAAACAATGAAAACAGAGGTCTGGAATGCAATTCTAGCAAAGGCAAGGAAATTTCATGGAGGCGGTCAAGCCAAATTCAAGGCAACGGAGGCCATAGCTTCCTGAAATTCAATACCATTGATTTTGAACATTTGTTAAAATGACTGGCAACCTTTTACACTTGAACAAGTTTTTAACCTTCAAAGACAAAATGTGACCTGCTGAGGCTAAATGAGGGATGTCTCCCAAAACCTTGTTTTCAGAAATCAGCGCCTGAAGTTTCATATATAAGTGAAAAATCATGTCAAAATGGATTGGTTTTTGGGGGGTATTTTTGAGTAACCAGGGTATCTAAAGATTCACCATTTGCATTTTGGTTTCGAAAATTGACAGTAATGTTCTTCTGAAATGAGAATTAAGACGAAAGCTGATGATTACAGTAAATACAAGTTTGTATTCTGTGAATTCAGACAGGAAACCAGCTTTACAGGAAAAATATTCTGGCTGATCTGTAGTTTCATTGATATGAATGCAAATGTACAAAGCTTGTAAATAATAATAAACATGATTTCTATGAAAACTACAAAAGTGAACAAAACTACAAAAAAGCTTTTTTTTTGTTTTTAAAAGACACTGAGTGAATATTTAAAGACTAATTTTTACAGTAATCTTGATTAATTCTTATAGTGATGTGTATGCTTCAGTAAAGGTACATTGTGCATAGGATCATTTGCTTTTTGCAGTTTTTTTCCGGAGCAACAAGTGCTCAAATTTTAAGTACCGTGCATATCAAGTATTCTGTTCAGGTCTAAGCTGAGTGGCTACTATACATTTTGGAGAAAACAGAGAAAAAATAATACACAAGTCTTTGGTTCTCGTAACTGGATTCTGTAGGCACCCATTTTGAAACCACCTTCAATGTTTGTTTTCTGACAAAAAAAATATCATTTCAGGTGGAATTATTTCACAGGGTATTTGTTACCAGTCCTATCTTCCCTTTGAGTTTTCTATCATTAAATCTGTAGGTACTTATCTGGGTAATTGCAGATGATCCTATGTGGCTTTAAAAAGTGAAGTTAATAGAAATACAGAACAACCAAAATTTTACAGGCTTCAATTTCTA